GGGGGGGGGGGGGTGGGGGGGGGGGGGGGGGTGGGGGGGTGGGGGGTGGGGGGGTGGGGGGGGGGGGGGGGGGGGGGGGGGGGGGGGGGGGGGGGGGGGGGGGGGGGGGTGGGGGGGGGGGGTGGGGGGGGGGGGGGGGGGGGGGGGGGGGGGGGGGGTGGGGGGGGGGGGGGGGGGGGGGGGGGGGTGGGGGGGGGGGGGTGGGGGGGGGGGGGGGGGGGGGGGGGGGGGGGGGGGGGGGGGGGGGGGGGGGGGGGGTGGGGTGGGGGGGGGGGGGGGGGGGGGGGGGGGTGGTGACAGCACTAGCCATGCGGCCGTAAATCCTCAGGCTGAAAGACACCCCCCCCCCCCTTCTTGCCTACACCGCAAATGTGGTAATAAAGGCAGTTATTGGCAGTTTTTTTGTTTAAGAGGAATAGTCACGATCCATTGGTCAATGGGTAGCACTGGTTATTGTCATTCCAAGTAGATGTAGAATGACCTTATGGCATCAGTCCATATTTTCTTTGGGTACCCTCATGTTTTCACATGAGATCTTTGGTATATTGCATGGGCTTTTCAGCTAAGTTTACTCAGCGGCCCAAATCTTGTAAATTGGGATGGTCACAGACCAGAGGCCCGAGCCCCAGCACAAAAAGAGCATTGTTACAATACAAAAGCAGTGATCTATGGGTCACTTACAAGGCCCTTGGTGAGCCACATTTGGCCCCTGGGCCAGCAGTTAAATAGCCCCGTTGAATTTATTGTGTTTGGCGGTTATTTTGACTGTATTCTAACAAGATGACTAAATTATTTAATCTTTTGCTTCTCAATGAATTTGATGCAAGTGGTTGCTCCCACAGTCTTTCTCACAGTATCAGTTTTTCCACTCTGTCCCCCAGAAGATTAAGCTGGTGGCTTTCCAGCTCATTGGCATCTCATCGTAGGGATATTAACTTAAATTATGTAAATTTGAACAAAGAAGATTGCCCGACTCTCTAGCGAAGTTGGTTAAACCTGATTTTCGCGGCGGCCGGGTGACGAACTCCTTGTGGTCCGGGTTCACTCCCGGGGGTAGGCAGAAAAGCCACATTTCTCCCAGATTAAGGGTACCTATAATGGAATCAATGCCGAAGGGTTGCGATATCCATAGTACCGAGCCAAAGGGTTTACAACTCATGATTTATGGATACGTTAAAAAAAAAAAAAAAAAAAGAACAAAGAAAACATGCACAATTGATTGCCTGGTATATTTTGCTGTATCTCGTCAGGTCATACCACAGTAACAATTACATAAATGAAGCAAATAAGTGAATCCTTTATAACTAAAGTACAATTTCAACAACGATCAAAACATAACTGCCTGTATTTACCAGGGAAGCCGTAAAGGCAGAACCATCTCTTTCTGTATACAAAGTTCCAGGCGCAGGTAATGAATCACAGAAGCTTCGAGAAATTTTAGCATTCTGCCATTGGTTGACATATGAAGGATTTGAAATGCGTTGTTTTTAGTTACCAGGAGTCCAGATTTTAGTAGATGGCGTGCTACTGAAGAGGGGGGATCTTTGCAGCCAGTATTCTCATTTTGAATATTATTTTGTATGGCTTTTTCCACCCATACTGGAATGTGCTCAGAGACTCATTTTTCCAGGTGTCAATCAGTTCTGCCCATATTCTGCCCACATTCTTAATTATGTAAAATTTTGTTTCTTTTCAAGTTTGGCACTGGTAGCACATTGTTGGCATGAATATGCTGGTTATGTTTTGTTTCTTCGTGGTCCTACTTATGTTAAAAACAGAATAAAATGCAGTTATCTTTTCCTCGGTTGACTATATTTAATATAATTATACATTATTTTTAGCTCTTTATTCTTCAACTGCTTGTTGCATATTGTCACTACAGGCACATACTGTGAAATTGATGTTGATGATTGTACACCAAACCCCTGCCACAATGGAGGACGTTGCACAGATCTTGTGAATGGCTTCCGCTGCAACTGCCCATCTGGTTACTATGACAACAAGTGCCTGTCAAACATTGATGAGTGTGCTTCCAACCCATGTGTAAATGGAGGTCGTTGTGTTGATGGCTACAACAGGTAATTCATATTTCACTTCCAGTAGTAGTAAATAGAGGTTATTATATTGATAGTTACAATAACTGGCTGCTGCTGCCCCTCTGGGTGGGGAGCTACTATTCAATAAAGCAGATGTGATGAAGGCTCTTTGTTATCTAGTAAACAGTGCGGTTGAACAGCTGAAGCATCAGTTTGTGTAATTGGCAGTTGTGTTTATCTATGAATAATTGTTACAGTATCTATAAAGCCATAGAATTTTGTTCTTTGAAGACTTAACAGTTAACAAGTGCATGAGTGAAACCCAGAAGTTATTATTGGCTAATTCTGAGATTTAACTCTTGAAACCCAGAAGTTTTTATTGGCTAATTCTGAGATTTAACTCTTGAAACCCAGAAGTTATTATTGGCTAATTCTGAGATTTAACTCTTGAAACCCAGAAGTTATTATTGGCTAATTCTGAGATTTAACTCTTGAAACCCAGAAGTTATTATTGGCTAATTCTGAGATTTAACTCTTCCTTGTTCAGGTTTGACTGTGAGTGCCCTCAAGGATATACTGGCTTCCGATGTCAGACACAGATCAATGAATGTTTGTCGAATCCATGTCAGCATGGAGGTACTTGTCAAGATCACCTCAACTACTACACCTGTACCTGTAGGGCTGGGTATACAGGTGAGATTGTGTGTGTTGTAAACCTCTGCAGTCAGTTACAGTGTGTGTTGTAAACCTCTGCAGTCAGTTACAGTGTGTGTTGTAAACCTCTGCAGTCAGTTAAAGTGTGTGTGTTGTAAACCTCTGCAGTCAGTTAAAGTGTGTGTTGTAAACCTCTGCAACGAGTTAAAGTGTGTGTTGACTTCTGCATCAGGCAGATATCATTTAAGTCATTCTTTCTTTGAGTCATTCTTTCTTTGAGACATTTTTTTCTTTTGAGTCATTCTTTCTTTAAGTCATTCTTTCTTTGAGTCATTCTTTCTTTGAGTCATTATTCTTTGAGTCATTCTTTCTTTGAGCCATTCTTTCTTTGAGTCATTCCTTTTTTAAGTCATTCTTTCTTGGAGTAATTCTTTCTTTAAGTCATTTTTTCTTGGAGTAATTCTTTCCAGTCATTCTTTCTTCGAGTAATTCTTTTTTTTAAAGTCATTCTTTCTTTAAGTCATTCTTTCTTTGTCATTCTTTCTTTGCGTCATACTTCCCACAGAATGTTGTTACATTAACTAATCAATGTTGGAGTCAGCGTGACTTAAAATAACAGAACTTTTATGATAATAATGACGTCCAACCCCACCAGGACACCACACCGAGCAGTGAACACCCGGTGACACAAAGTGCCATTATTCAGATGAGGATCACCCGGGGACAGGTCCCAGAAATCCTGTTCAACCCATAGGTTGGGTTTCAGTAGGGTCCTCGGCAAAAGCCATGGTGGGGCTATAAAACAACAACAAAATTGGGTCCGACATTGGGACGCAGAGTTACAAAGGTTCTTTAAAAGAGAAGGAGTTCAGTCTCTACAAAACAACCAGTTTAATGTCTTTACATTAAAAAAAAATTTTCAGTAAATATATTTTGAAAAGATATATGAAAGGGGTCATCAATAAACGCAAACAAAATGAAGAATTAAATGAAATACATTTCTCTGGGCCTCAATAAAGAACAGTGGGTTCTGGGTAACTCATGCTATTGCCCCTTGACCTCTACCACTGAGGATTGTGAAAAAATGTGACATAAGCTTTCAAAACCCCTCATTTTCTTAGCTACTTAATCACTGCACAGGTGCACACAGAACCAGTGGCATGAAACTATGCTTTTTGAGAACAGGTCACTGCAGAAATGGCCATATATCGGCATTCAGAGGGCGATGTCGCAACCTTGAATTGACTAGATTTAGCATATTTGGGGTCAAAGGGTTAGAGCAGCAACTGGAGCACGTTGGTTAGTGTAACTTATAACTGGACGTGGCTTGAAGAGTTTAGACAAATGTATAATGTAAGTAGAACCCGAAAAGCCATCGGGGAGTTGCTTACTGTTGCTTGGTGTTGAAATAGTTGAGTTCATTATATTGACTTTCAGATTGTCCAAAAAAAGCACTTGTAAAAAGTGAAAGAGCTTTGTATAGAGACTTACCTACCTGCCTTATAGCAGTATACAGTCTTAATGGTTTCTGTGGCACAGGGTTCTTCTTCCCCTCTCCAATATCAAAACTATTGTTGTGTTCAAGATTTCAACTGGAACTGTTCATGTTTTAGACTAATTTTTGAACCTCTAAACTTTTATGTAGTGTATAGTTTTTACTAGATTTTCTAAACTTTCTGTCGCTGTATCTAGATTTCATATGTTTTATCGACCCCCTGCCTCAGTTTTTACTTGGATTGTTCAAACCCTACCCTAAATAGTTTCTGCCTGGCTAAGGCAGTACCTATAACCCCACAGTTAGTTTTTGCTTTGTTTTTCCCATACTCCATCCCAGTTTCTGTTGGTTTATTCTTCTTTTTGTAGAGATGTAAGTCTAAACAAATATTCTGCTACCTGATTACAGGACTGACTTGTGAGACAAACATCAATGAATGTGCCAACAATCCATGTTTGCACGGCAAATGCATTGATCAGATTGACAACTACTTGTGCCATTGTGAGGTCCCATACACGGGCAAGAACTGTGACTTCAGGATGGACCCCTGCAGCCCCAATCCTTGCCAGAACACAGCGCAGTGTGTGCCCCAGAACAGCTACCAGATGTTGTTCAAGTGTAACTGTCCCGTTGGATTCACAGGTGTGTGTGTGTACAACTAAATGTCCATAACCATCTATTGATTGTTCTGTAGTCATCGTTGTTCCTTCTTTTATAGTACAGACTGGGGGGGCCGCGTTAGCGCAGTCAATAGGAGACTTGCTTTCAAATCCAACTGCGACTCGCTGCAGCTCACGGCTAGTGTTCAAAACCGGGCGATTCCTGGAGTTCACCCAGCCTCTAGGTAATGGGTACCAGGGCTAACACTTTGAGGTAAATGGAGGAACGTCGCTATAGCTACGGAGCTTGCGGACGGTGACACAGGCGGACAGTTTCATATCAGCTGTCCGTACTGGTAGCAAAGTACTTATGGTTTATAACTGTGCAATTACGCTGGTTCACATCTCCTGACTTTACTTTACTTTATCATCGGAATGGGGTCTGAACCGTGCAATGGAGTGCATGCACCTGAGTTCAGACTTCCCTCAAGGTGTATTTGATGTCCGATGGCAACTATTTACTAATTCAAAACAACCCATAGACTGTATTTAAATGGCAGACTTGGGAATTGAGATCGGCACAGCAAAAAACGAGACGCACACCAGCTACACCAGAAGACTTGTTAATCAACATAGAACTGGTACTATTAGCCATCGGACGTTGGGGTTCATACTGAGGGGAGGATCTGAACTTTACTTTAGTACAGATTGTAACCATTAATCTGTATTCATTATGTTGGTTGTCCTTTTCCTTCCTTCTGTTCTCATAATCAGCTCTTAATTATTTTTACTCTTGATTCATTATTTCTGATATTTTACTACTTACTGCAATGTTTAGTGTGTGCGTTTATTATTCTAATCTTTTTTTTTTAAGTTTATATTTGTTCATCATCATCAACATAAAATTCTATTTTTTTGCTGTAAGCTCTTTCATTACCAGCAGACTTGATAGAAAATAAATACTCAAGGAGAAAGAGGAATAACCACACACAATAATGAGAGGTGCTTTCCTTTCTGTTAGAATACAGTGGAAGTTGGAAATGTTTCTCATCATGTTGAAGCTGATAGAAATAGAATATATTATGCCTTGTTTGTGATTCATGATGGCATATGATAAGAAGCCTTCACACATCTTGAATTGGTTGGGAATAAAGAGTTGAGCATCCTGGGAGGAACAGTTTGCTTTCTACACTCAGGGATAGTTTCTGTTTTTAACATTTTTAATTACTGACTGTAAATGTTATTCTGTTTCATGTAATTAATCTTTCTTTTCATTATTTCATCTTTTTCTTTGGTCTGCTAATATTTCTTTCTTTTTTCTCTCCACATGATGGTGTATCTGTATCTGTATTTTTTCCATGCTGCCTTTTTATAAAATGAGGTTGATAATAAGTTTTAAAAAAAATAAGTTTGTATTCTGAATCCTTTTTGTTGTTGTTTTGCTGCATTATTAGCATTTGTCAGTTTCACACAGTCCTATTGTTCTTGTTGATCATTGTTAGGTAGTCGCTGCGAGCAGGACATCAACGAATGTGCACAAAGTAATCCTTGCAGAAATGGAGGAACATGCCGCAACACACAGGGGTCTTATGTGTGTCTGTGTGTTAATGGTTTTGAGGGCAGGCAGTGTGAGATCAACCATGACGATTGTGAACCTAGTAAGTTTTACTTTGAAAACTTATTTAGAAGTCTGGAGTTTCTTATATTTGTCATATGCGAATAGTTTTTCTTACTTTTCGTTGTATAAATGCAGGCAAAAAGTTGCAACTCTGATTTTACCAGTAACTGTCTGATTGTACATCCGTCTGACCTTTCTCTTGAGTCTGGAGCCTGATTGTACATCTGTCTGACCTTTCCCTTGAGTCTGGAGCATCGGCCTTATCCCCTGATAACTCCCTGCAGCGCCATACTCCTCAGACCATAATAATCTATTTGTGCCTCCTCATATTCACTCGCTCGCTAAGGGCCCTCACAAAATCTAGCTTCTCATACATCAAATTACCACTAACTAGTGCAGAACTGGCCAGTCTATCTGCCCTGCTGCTTTCCCAGCACAGCAGCATGACCTAGAGAAAATATCCAAAAGACACTAACTATCTGGGACTTCCGAAGTGGTGCCAGCCACTCTGTATGGAGCATGCCTGTCTCCACCCTTTTCAGCATACTCTTTGAGTCAATTACAATAGACATGTGTGTACAGCTGATTCTCAATTCAGTGGAAGGCAGCAGTGACTGCCTCCACCTCAGTTCTCAAACTAGACATTGTGATATCATATGCCAGGTTTTGTTGCACTAAGTGACGTCTGTTCGCTTTTCCTATAAACCCCTATGCACTTTGTCTACCTCTCAACACAGAGATAGGAACACAGCTGAGGTGCCTCTTCGCCAGATGGCTAAAACTCATAAACATGAGAGAAATTAGATGTCGACAGTTGGTGTTTTGGGACATGTGAGGAGAAGTGGACTCCGTAACTTGGTTTAAATTGGCGCGATTGATGGACAAGGAGTAAAGTAAGGTAAAGGGATAAATACTTGGATGGCTGGACCATATAGATAAGACGAGACAAGAGCACTGGCTTATCCATGATTCTTATGGTCGTATGAGATGGTAAAGTTGTACTCGTCTTCTTCCTGCTGGCTGTAACCTCTGGCAAAAGTTTCAGATTTTTTGTCCACTTCTAAACTTCATTCTGGTTCCAGAATGTGAGATCTGCAAGCATGTTAATTTTACAGATTTGGCTTACTTGTATGCAGACTGTTGGTTCCTTGTCTCTATGGCAGATGCACTGCAATTTGTTTTTAGGGAGGACAGTGGGTCTATCCCCCCTCCCCTTCCCGCACACTGGGGCCTAAAACCCTGATGGGGAGATGTAGACTTTTGGCAAATTTTTGTTTTTTTTTTTTTTGTTCCATATTTGAGGGCTTCACATTTTCTCTTCATGTCATCCCCTACTATATCTTCGTGAAATAATTTTTATTTTGTTTCTTATGTATTGACCACCTTTTTTTTAATGAGATATTAATGCTTATTTGCCATTCTGTCCTCTTGTTTCAGACCCTTGCTACAACGGAGGTACCTGTGTTGATGGTGTTGGCAGATACGACTGCAACTGTGTGAGTGGGTTTGGAGGGCAGCACTGCCAAAATGATATTAACGAATGTGCCTCTAATCCATGTGTCAATGGTGGAGTGTGTACAGATTACGTCAACTCCTACACCTGTACGTGCAAAGCTGGCTTCAGTGGCGTACACTGCCAGGTTAACGATAATGACTGCACTAGGAGGTGAGGATGGCCAGTTTTTTTGTGTTTTGTTTTTTCACATTTACCTTTCAACTGTTTTTTATTCTGGTCATCAATTAGCAAGTCCTTTACAGAACGTCGCCCTCTTCCCTTTCCCTTTCTCTAGCCAGTTCTCCAGCCCCATGTGCTTTCAATGCCAATGCTTCTTTATTGTCCTGTGTCCATCTCTGCCTCGCCTTTCACAAACTGACCCTCCATCACCATCTTTTCCAAGCCACCATGACGCTTGAAGTGGCCAAAATACTTTAGCTTTCAGAGCAGGATGCTGTTTATGAGCCAGTTCTCCTTGATATTCATTTCATTCAGAATGTCGATGTTTTTCCTCTTTTTTATCCATGGCACTGTAAGAATTTTTCTATAACATTTCAATTTAAAACCTCCAGTCTTTTTCCTCAGCGACTGAGTGAGAGTCCAGGACTCGCAACCGTCAGTTGCCACAGGAAAAATGCATGATCTCAAGATTTTTGTAACCAATTTACTAGCGCTACGCCACAGGTTCTTCATGCTGTTTAATCTCTGCATTGCCAATGCAAGTCTTCTTGAGACTTCTTTTGAGCAGTCGCCATTGTTGTTCACTAAAGAGCCCAAGTATTCTAAATCTGTTACATTTTCTGTTTCTTCATTTTCGATTGTGATACGTGGTTGGTGTGCTGAATTTACTGAGGACATTTTTTTTTAAGTTAAGAAAAAAGATTCGCTTCTTTGCTGTACCTTTTTTACGGCCATAATTAATTTTTCCAAACCTTGGACACTATTGGAAAGAAGAACAGTGTCGTCTGCATATCTGAGTTCTGGGATAGGATTACCTCCAATTTTTAGTTGATCAAAGCCGTTTCTCATAACTTCTAATTCTAGCAAGATAAATATTTAACTAGCTTTGTCTAGATGAATATTAGCGATTAGCTAGTACTTTCATCACATTGCTCTGCAGATCTGTACTTGCTCCGATCTCAATAGCTCTGCAGATCTGTACTTGCTCCGATCTCAATAGCTCTGCAGATCTGTACTTGCTCCGATCTCAATAGCTCTGCAGATCTGTACTTGCTCCGATCTCAATAGCTCTGCAGATCTGTACTTGCTCCGATCTCAATAGCTCTGCAGATCTGTACTTGCTCCGATCTCAATAGCTCTGCAGATCTGTACTTGCTCCGATCTCAATAGCTCTGCAGATCTGTACTTGCTCCGATCTCAATAGCTCTGCAGATCTGTACTTGCTCCCATCTCAATAGCTCTGCAGATCTGTACTTGCTCCCATCCCAATAGCTCTGCAGATCTGTACTTGCTCCCATCTCAATAGCTCTGCAGATCTGTACTTGCTCCCATCTCAATAGCTCTGCAGATCTGTACTTGCTCCGATCTCAATAGCTCTGCAAGCATGAAATGACTGATCATATCTTTGATCTGTATTGATAAATCAAATGTCTTATGCCCTTAGCGGAAAAGTTCATGTCTGACAGCTTCACTTTGTACCCCCACATACACCAGCTTGGACAGGAGTCCATAATTATCTTCCCATTACGCATCTCACATTCCAATAATGTTTTCATTACTTTTCAGTGTTGGCCATATAGTAACCTAGTCTAGTAATATAGACTAATACTGAAAAGTGTTTATAACTGACAAAAACTGGGCTGTGGCAAAATTAAAAGAATTGAGAAAACTGTCTATTTTAGAATATTCAAACTCAATAAACACTCACATAAATTAGGTATGAGCCAAACAGCTCTCTGCCAGTGCCTTCGTGCTGAACAGACTCCAGAACATGTCCTGCAAGACTGTCCTCTCCTGGCGGAGCTGCGGAGCGACATATGGCAACACCCAGTAGAACTGACAACTAAGCTTTGGGGAAACCTAAGAGACCTTGAAAAGACATCCCAGTTTATGACCCACAGTGGATTATGCGCATTACCAGAGATCGCTGAAGAAGATGAAGAAGAAGAAGATGAAGAAGAAGAAGATGAAGAAGAAGAAGATGAAGAAGAAGAAGATGAAGAAGAAGAAGATGAAGAAGAAGAAGATGAAGAAGAAGAAGAATATTCATGCTTTTTGTGGGTCTGATTTATTTAGAGGCAGATGGGTTTTTTTTTTAAATTGACCTTGGTGCTAACAGGCAACACAGCCTCAAATGTGTACCAGGTAATTTCCTGGGAAGTAAAGGCAACATACATGATTTTGACCACATCACCTACAGAATGTTGACTTGCCTATAAAAATATAGGTCCAGCACTGTATCTGTGATGTGCCAGAGGTGTGAACAAGGTCGTTTACTATAAAGTATATGTACGTCAATAATACCTTCATATATGATGTGCCAGAGGTGTGAAAAAGGTACTTTACTATAAAGTATATGTACGTCAATAATACCTTCATATATGATGTGCCAGAGGTGTGAAAAAGGTACTTTACTATAAAGTATATGTACGTCAATAATTCCTTCATATATGTTGTGCCAGTTAAACAATAATCCACTAGAAAGTATTGAAATGAATGTATTCATAAAATTAGCAGATTATTAAAAATATCTTCAAAAATGTAGCTTGCTTGAAACATTCTCTTTCTCTTTAATCATAAAATATTTTTCATTTCCATTTCAGCTCCTGTCTCCATGGGGGAACATGCATCGATAAAGTGAATGGCTTCGACTGTAGTTGTGCGCCTGGCTATACAGGAAGAAACTGCCAGTACAACATCAACCCTTGTGATTCTAATCCGTGTGTCAATGGTGCTTCCTGTTTCAACGTGGCTGATAGTTACCAGTGCTACTGTCCTTATGGTTTTACTGGAGCTAGGTGTGAGGTGAGAGCTGAGAAATAGTTCAACATTCTGTGGCTGTAATCATTTTCTTCTTCTACATTTGCTGTTTAAAGGGCATTTGTACATTGTTTTGTGGTTTTCAGCCAGTCAGTCATTCCTGTGCCTTTTGGCCCACTAGATCTTTTTTTTCAACTTCTAATTCTTCTTCTTTTGTCATTTTAGTGATACCAGGTTGTAGCCCAGTGTCGTGATTTTATGTATTTATCTTGTGCTTCTCAGGTGGCTTGATGGTGGATTTGTCCTTTTGTTTTATGTGCAGGTTTCTGCTACACCATCCATCTCTTTCTTGGTCTTCCTCTTGCCTTCCTCCCAGATGTTCTGCTATAAAAAGTCTCATATGCAGTCTGGTCTGGCTGCATTCTCACTAGATGGCTGAACCATTTCATTCTTTGTTGTCTGGCTGCATTCTCACTACTTTTCCCCAGAAAACTAGACTGGGTCTTATATGAATTTTTGCTTCAAAAAATCTGTAGGGCTTATTTGAGGGGGATCAGGGAAGTTAATCCGGTCAACAGGTACTCGATGAAGTCAAATGTGTCAGCCGAAAGATGCAATATTGCAGCTATGCTGTAAACTGGGCACAACATAATTACGTCACTTGAACAAAGGAAAAGAACATTTTTGGGTGATGTCACATTTATTCCTATACAAAATTCTGCATTTATTCAGATACAGATTTTGAATTTCTTCATTTCCCATAGAAGCACTAACCCCAGTCTCTCATTCAAGCTAACAATCTTAACGAGTGCTTTTTAAACAAAAAAATTTTTTTATACTTAGGACTTGAAATAAAAACCTGCTCATGCTAGACCTTATTTTTGATAGCTCCTTTTTTTTCGGTACGGTATTAATACTTCTACAACTGCTACAAGATCATGTTTTGTGTGTTAAGAATCTGTTTTGAACTTTCTGATTAATTATCTGCAGGGTTTTGTTGACTGGTGTAGTCAGAACCCCTGTCAAAACGGAGCCGAGTGTGAACAGATTGCCAACAACTTCCAATGTGAATGTCGCAGCGGTTGGACTGGCAAGCTCTGCGATGTCCAGTTTGTCACTTGCGCTGCTGCGGCCGCACAGAAAGGTAAGCAGATATTTGAATCAGGCCTTTATTGAATTTACTAACAGCTTTAAGATGTCACTGTACACCAGCTGTCACCGTACACCAGCTGTCACTGTACACCATCTGTCACTGCACACCAGCTGTCACTGTACGCCAGCTGTGCCAGAGATGGGGTACCTGTCAAAACACTGATTATAACAGGTAGATATATAAATCTCCCACTGCTTGTGGCTTAGTGGTTATAAACAAGGTTTATAATTCCTAAATACCTGATTTGATCCAGATGATGACATTTTGGCAGCGGACCACTTTGCTTTCATTTATAACAGTAGTATGGAGAGCTTACTTTGCAGGAGCAGTGGCAAACTACTGAACATAACATTTTCTAGTAAAACTACAAACCACCAGCAGAGGCTTTAACTGGTTTGCCATGTCCTGTTAGTTGAGTTAATTAAAAAACCAACATCACTGCACTCAGAGCTTTCCCATAAGTGGTTTGTCTCCATCGTCGACAGCCAGCGCAGAGTTCCAATACCAATGGTGCCAGTAGAAGTCTGATTATATGTTTGTCTTGCCTTTCCTCTGAGCACCCAGCATCACCAAGATCCTCTGAGCACCCAGCATCACCCAGATCCTCTGAGCACCCAGCATCACCCAGATCCTCTGAGCACCCAGCATCACCCAGATCCTCTGAGCACCCAGCATCACCCAGATCCTCTGAGCACCCTGCATCACCCAGATCCTCTGAGCACCCAGCATCACCCAGATCCTCTGAGCACCCAGCATCACCCAGATCCTCTGAGCACCCAGCATCACCCAGATCCTCTGAGCACCCAGCATCACCCAGATCCTCTGAGCACCCAGCATCACCCAGATCCTCTGAGCACCCAGCATCACCCAGATCCTCTGAGCACCCAGCATCACCCAGATCCTCTGAGCACCCAGCATCACCCAGATCCTCTGAGCACCCAGCATCACCCAGATCCTCTGAGCACCCAGCATCACCCAGATCCTCTGGTCACTCCTCGCTGCATTACTGTCACCGGACCATGATGATCAGTTTCTGAAATGTACATCTGCTCCCGTAAGGACCTAACCATCTGCCTTATGCTTTAGTATTTCACCAAGTTGTGCAGAACCAGCCAATCTGTCTGTCTGTTCATTACCCAACACACCAGCAGACCAACACACCAGCAGACCAACACACCAGCAGACCAACACACCAGCAGACCAACACACCAGCAGACCAACACACCAGCAGACCAACACACCAGCAGACCAACACACCAGCAGACCAACACACCAGCAGACCAACACACCAGCAGACCAACACACCAGCAGACCAACACACCAGCAGACCAACACACCAGCAGACCAACACACCAGCAGACCAACATACCAGCAGACCAACACACCAGCAGACCAACACACCAGCAGACCAACACACCAGCAGACCAACATACCAGCAGACCAACACACCAGCAGACCAACACACCAGCAGACCAACACACCAGCAGACCAACACACCAGCAGACCAACACACCAGCAGACCAACACACCAGCAGACCAACACACCAGCAGACCAACACACCAGCAGACCAACACACTAGCAGACCAACACACCAGCAGACCCTGGAGAAAAGATCCAAATAATGCTCTTCACCCATGACATCCCGTGAAGAGTGCACAACTAACTCAGACCTAAGAAAGTAATGATGGATGCACATGTTGTCCACCACAGGCAATTTCCATTGTGGAACGGCACATTTTTTTTTTTTTAAATATAGTTTTATTATTCAAGGAACATAAACCAGTTGACTTGACTATTTACAGTTATAGTTTCATTATTTATGGAACATAAACCAGTTGACTTGACTATTTACAGTTATAGTTTCATTATTTATGGAACATAAACCAGTTGACTTGACTATTTACAGTTATAGTTTCATTATTCAAGGGACATAAACCAGTTGACTTGACTATTTACAGTTATAGTTTCATTATTCAAGGGACATAAACCAGTTGACTTGGCTATTTTCAGGTGTTAATGTACAACAGCTGTGCCAGAACGGAGGGACGTGTCACAACACTGACAACACCCACACCTGCCTCTGCAGTAAAGGTTATGAAGGCTCCTACTGTGAGACAGAGACTGATGAGTGTGCTTTTGCCCCATGTGTGAACGGAGCAACTTGTATTAATCTGATTGGCAAATACTCATGCCAGTGTGCAAAAGGCTTTCAGGTATGTTATTTTTATTATTCAAATATACCAGTGGTAGTTTGTTCTTAATTATTTGCACCTCCCCTCTTTTCTTGGTTTTGCTTACTCCTTTTGCTCTCTTTTCGTTCTACTTTTATCTCTCATTACTTCTATCTTTGTCTGTTTCTTTTATTCTGTCCCTTTATTTGCCTGTTTCCCTCTTTATATTTCTTTGCTTGAGTCTGTCTTCCTCTTCCACTTTCCCTCCATCTCTTCTGTCATCACCATACTCCTCTACTACTTCCACTTTTCTGTATAATTACTGTATCTTTTCTATTTCTTTTACAATCTGTATTATTTTCTTTGCTTTGGTCTGTCTCCCTCTTCCACTTTCCCTTCGTCTCTTCTATCATCACCACACTCCTCTACTGTTTCCATTTCCAGGTATAATTACTGTATCTTTTCTATTTCTTTTACAATTTGTATTTTATTCTTTTGTCATCACATTATTACCGGTTGTAGCCCAGTGCTTTTATTTATTCTTCTTACTGTTGGCTTGCTAGGCTTGTCACAAAAAGGTGCAAGAAAAATCAGATCTGTTTGGTTCTCATCTTCTCATTTATGCTGTAACTACAGTATGTTCCATTTTCTGCATTCTTTTTTTTTTCCTACTAATTTGTATTCCAATTTCTTCAATGTTGTTTGGTTTAGACCATTTTTTAATTGATGCTTCCTTTTTCACTGTAGGGTCAAAACTGTGAGTTGGATGTTGACAACTGTGCCACCCAGCCATGTGACAATGGAGGCATCTGTCATGACCAGGTCGATGACTTTGAGTGTTCCTGTCCCCCAGGCACTGCCGGTTTCTTGTGTGAGATCAATGACAACGACTGTCTATATAACTCTTGTCACAATGGAGGAACCTGTGTGGATAAGGTAAGTCAGAGAATGGTAAAATAAATATGTGAGATCAATGACAACGACTGTCTGTATAACTCTTTGTCACAATGGAGGAGCCTGTGTGGATAAGGTAAGTCAGAGAATTGTGAAATACTTATGTGAGGTCATTGACAACAACTGTTTAATTATTACTATGCATTCTGCATGCAGTCTAATTTTTTTAAAAAAAACAGCATGAAACCAACCCAGTTTTGTTGTCTTGCCCGTTGAGTTTTCTAGTCACACTTTGTGCTGTATTTAGTACTCCGTTGATACAGACTTTGGTTGAAACGTTTGTTTGTGTTTGTATGCATCTTTTCTATACCCTCCATTGAGCTTTCTAGTCACATTCTGTGTTATATTTATCATTTCTTGTGAATATGGGAGCTACAGCTTGGAGCTGTCAGACGTAAACATTTCATAATGAACTCATGACACATTCCGTTGCTTGGTATGATGAGATATTGTGTAGCTTAGCTGTCAGCAACTCCTTCAATTTATTTTCTAGGTCTTCCTCTGTGACTTAATGTTTCTATTTTCTAGGTCTTCCTCTGTGACTTAATGTTTCTATTTTCTAGGTCTTCCTCTGTGACTTAACGTTTCCATTTTTATGTGATATGTTCTTGTAGCCGGCATCATTGAATTCATTCTGACTGATGGCTGAACCATTTCAGTGTTTCTTTCTGAAATTAATTTAACGATGGGTATTGTTCCGGTACTTATTCTAATCTTTTCATTTCCAAAACAGTCTCTTCTGGCGTCATTTGCAGCTTTTCTCAGACATCTTATTTCACATGTGTTTAGTTTTCTCTTATGTTCTTTGTCCAAGTCTGACAGCGGTAACCTTAATTTGGAATAAGGATGGTATTTATAGTCTTTATATTGGTTGAAAAGCTGGGTGTTGTAAAATTAGGATATTCATATGTTATATTTTAAATTACTGGTACAAATCACGAACGTCACCCCATCTCGTTGGCCACATTATTTCGTAAGGGATTTTCTGGGAAACTCCTAAAGTCCAGTAGTGTCACATGTTCCTCGTTTTGACCGGTTCAAGCAGATACACCAGCGATGACAGCCACTGCCAACAACTGTAATAATACAAAAACAGTGATTTAGCACCTGCGGCACTTCCCCCTGCATTACGTCTTTCTCGTGCGCAGGTGCCGTTTACCTACCGCTTACAGAAAATAATTGTTAAAATAAACCTACAGGGCAGCCAATTTTTTTACACTGTGTGTACACACGACAAAGCGAGCCACGTCATAACACCCTCACAACATAGGACAGCCTGTAAGAACCGGCACGACATGAATGGGAGCCAGCATGAAATCTTGCCCGCAAACTAGATGGGGTGACTCTAGTGATTACAACAGAATTACCTTTATCTTATATTATTTCAACTATTGCAACCAGTTTCATTATACCTTTGATATGACAACTCTTGTAATCTTCCACAACAGGTTGGAGGCTATGAGTGTATATGTCCACCAGGTTTTGTGGGCCATCGGTGCGAGGGCGATGTCAATGAATGCCTCTCGAACCCTTGTGATCCATACGGGACGCAGGATTGTGTGCAGCTCAATAACAGCTTCAGGTGTGAGTGCAAGTCAGGATGGACAGGTGAGTGATATTTTTTGTCTGTCTGTGTATCGTTTGGATTTTGATTGTTAACAATGTTAATTAATATGAACAGGTGTGTTTCTTCTTTATATTTTGTCTGTTGCTTGGTTATTGGTTATTTGGCCATAGAATACCTCACTACAAATGAACAAATGGTGAAATAAAGGACCCTTCCTCACAACAAATGGTGAAATAAGGGACCCTTCCTCACAACACATGGTGAAATAAGGGACCCTTCCTCACAACAAATGAACAGGTGGTGAAATAAAGGACCCTTCCTTACAACAAATAAACAAATGGTGAAATTAAGGACCCTTTTCTGTGCCTTCAGTCTTATCTGGCATATATTTTATAGATCATTGGGCAGGCGGTGGGTGGCGTGGTCAAAAACATGCCAGCCTCCTTTATTTCCTAGGCCTTTATGTGGTACCCATTTATGGTGCAAGTTCACGTGGTAATTAGCTCTTTTAAAAACCATGTTTCCCGCATGGGTTCCGGGGCTCCATTGTGGGGAAGCAAGAATAGAACCACTGCCTGCCCTAAAGCATGTCGTAAGAGTCAACTAATTGGGAGCTTCCTTCAAAGTCGAAGTACATCTGCCTGGTAGGCAAGGAACCGACAGTCTGCATGCGGATAACTCAGACCTGTGAAATGGATGTACACGCAAAACTTAGTTTCTGGAACAGGACTAGAGTCCAGAAGTGGACACACAACCAGAACTTTTTCGCCGGAGTTTACAACCGGTGGATACGAAGAAGAAGAAAAAGAAGATGTGGTAATTGGATTGATTTAGTGTGGTCTGACCAGCTGTATAAACTAAAAGACAACGTTTTCCTATGGGTAATATGCAATTGGAAGGAGTGTATCACTCCTAGATAATCTATTTCAAGTGAACATTTTTTGCCGTTTAATTATTTAAGAAACAATTTTACTTGAATATCAACCAACCTAATGTTTGAATCCTTAAGGTCGTACCTTGCAACGAGCGGCAAAAGTGTGACCAGAATCCTTGTGAAAATGGCGGAGATTGTCGTGACACCGAATTTGGAGCTATCTGTACTTGTAAATCGGTAAGAAGTTTTGTGTTAGCTTATACTTATCATGACCTGATTATGTCTCTCTGTTTTTCTAGTGACTAGCAAATTGGTTTAGATTGTTCTGTTAGTTAAAAAAAAATGCACATTGTGTATTAAAAGTCACTTACATTATTAATGACTTCATCTTGCAGAGTTTTAAAGGTGACTTCTGCCAGATCAAGATGTCCGACTGTGATTCCAGCCCATGCAAAAATCAGGGCACCTGCTCAGTGACTGCAACAGGGTACGAGTGTCTGTGTCCAGTCGGTGCCAGTGGGATCAACTGTGAGACTGATGCTGCGGACGAGTGCAAAGACAGGCCTTGCCAGAATGGAGGAACTTGTTTCAACAAGATAGGTAATCAGTTTGTTGGTGCTGTTTGCCCTCATCTTTTTCTGCTCTTTTCCTCTTCCACCCTCAGACTTATTTTTCTGTAATATCAAAAGACAAGAAAACTAGTAGCCTCCCTGCTGCCCAGGATAGATGTGGTCAAGGCCCCCCTTCAGGAGCAAGTGCAACATTACAGAACTGTCAAAACTGCACTACTGTCTGGAGAGAATTGTGCAGCGGGAAGTCCGGAGGGGATTTGGCTGACACTCTGCACTCAGAGGAAAGGCAAAATGGACATATAATCAAACAGCTACTAGTATCATCTGCATTGTAACTCTTAGCTATCAACTCTTAGCTGGCTGGTCCTGATATATAAGTTCTGCAATACTGAATCATCAAACATATCATCTGCATTGTAACTCTTAGCTATCAACTCTTAGCTGGCTGGTCCTGATATATAAGTTCTGCAATACTGAATCATCAAACATAACTGATATCCATTATTGAAACAGAACAAAAAATATGTATATCCCATTTCTAACCCGGATCGGTTGAACAGGATATTGTTGATTAAATTACTTCTAATACTACTACTTAGTACATAAAGTAAAAAATAGGTTCTTTAAAAAAAAAGTGGGGGGGGGGGGGGGGGAGGGTAAATAAATAGTTGAAATTGCTTTAAAGCAGTGATTTCCAAAATGTTTGCCATGGTGCCCCGGCGAGCCGCGACCTCTTCACAGGGGCGCCGCAAAATATTTGAAGATACACGAGTTTTATTTATTTTTTTATCTCTTTCATACGAATAGTCAAACTTTTACTTAGGTTAGGGCGCCGTGGTAAAATGTTTAACTGAAAAAAGGGGCCGCAACTAATACAGGTTTGGGAAACACTGCTTTAAAGTTTGTTTTTAAGATTTCAACATCTTTAAACGATGCCATTTTAAGATAATTTTTTTGTTTTTTGTTTAGTGTTGATTTCATTTAAGATATTTTTGAACATAGATAGTTATCAGAATAATTTGAAGGAGCAGGCATTAAATACATTTGGCATTTGAACTCTATCCTCATTCTGTCCTTAAGGTTACTTTGAATGCATGTGCCCAAAAACCTGGACGGGCATCAAGTGCAATGTTTATGAGAAAAATTTCCCTGGAGGTATAGGAAGAACAACATCTACAGAGAACGGCATTCCAGAAATTTGTCAAAAGAATTCCTGTCCAGAAAAGTCCTCTAATGGTGTTTGTGATGTAAGTAGCAATATGTCTCTCTCTCTTCCTCTCACTTTGTGGCTCTCCATTGGTCTCTCTAACTTTCTCTCTTTTGACTTAAGTCTCTGTTTCTCTCTCTCTCTCTCTCTCTCTCTCTCTCTCTCTCTCTCTCTCTCTCTCTCTCTCTCTCTCTCTCTCTCTCTCACACACACACACACACACACACACACACACACACACACACACACACACTCTCTCTCTCTGTATATAACAAGTCAGAAAGAACTACAGGAAATAATAGACATTGTGGTGTTAGAAAGTGGAAGAATGGGCCTCAGTTTGAATAATGGGAAGACAGAAGTAATGGTGGTATCAAAGAAACGAATTATTCCCAAGTGTGTAATAAAATTTGATGGTGTAATTTTAGGACAAGTACAGAAATTTAAGTATCTAGGCACATGGATAACATCAGATGGAAGATGCATAACTGAGATAAGAAACAGAATAGGACAGGCGAAAACTGCATTTTATAAAATGAAAAACAATTTGTGCAATATATCCTTGTCATTGAGAGTTAGAAAAAGAATTCTTGCTTGCTATATACATCCAGATTTAACATATGGCTGTGAATCCTGGACAATCGATAGGCAGGCCAAACGATTTCTAGAGGCCTCAGAGATGTGGTTTTACAGAAGAATGCTTAGAATATCTTGGACAGCCAAAAAGAGCAACCAAGAGGTTTTGAAAGAGGCGGGAACCCGAAGACAACTTATCACAGACATCAGAAGGAGACAGTCATCATTTTTCGGCCATGTTATGAGAAGAGGGAAAATAAAACATGTTGTGACCACTGGAAAGATCTGTGGAAGGAGAGATAGAGGAAGACAATGAGAGAAGATGCTTGACAGTCTTGTTGCATGGCATGGAGGTGTGTTGGCACACGAACTGATACATGCTGCAGGAAATCGCAGATTATGGAGAGGCATGATCGCCCACGCCAGTCGGCAAGGCACTTAATGATGATGATGATGATGTATCTGTCTCCCACTCTTCTTGTCATGACTCTTCCTCACAGTCTGTTTATCTAGAAGTCCCTCTACCTTTTTGTTTCTTTTTATCTGTGAGTGTGTGTCTCTCTCTCTCTCTCTCTCTATGTATCTTTCACTTTGTCTATGTCTCTTCCTGAACGTCTCCTTTGCTGCCTAACTAAATAAGCACCTACTCAGTTTCATAAATAAATTATGTACATATGTTTAAAAACAATATCGCTTTTCCCTAAAGAAAACCATTAAGACAGAAATCTGTTGACCTCACAATACCATGATTTAGTATTTGTAAAGACTTGTAACTTCGCAGCAGTATTTGTTGATGTTAATGTTACCTCTATCTTGATTGAATGACCGAACAAACAAACAAACTTTGTTTTTAAAGGGTCATCAATTGGACAAGCAGGCCTGTCTTACATTTGGCCCTTCCAAACACTTGTCTTTCACACAGCAGTTTTATTTTATCAATAAGCATGTTATATTCACATGATAATATGCATATTATGAATATCAAGTAGAAATGCAAATGGGTGGTAAAATGCATGCTCACACTAGCACATGCACATACACTCACACACATACTCGTGCCCACTCAGTGAAACACACATATATACATACCCACATACATTGAGACACATTAGACACACATACTCGTGCCCACTCAGTTAAACACACATATATACATACCCACATACATTGAGACACATTAGACACACATACTCGTGCCCACTCAGTGAAACACACATATATACATACCCACATACATTGAGACACATTAGACACACATACTCGTGCCCACTCAGTGAAACACACATATATACATACCCACATACATTGAGACAGATTAGACATCTTGCCTCCTGCTTCCATAGATTGAGTGCAACATGATTGAATGTAATTACGACAACACAGACTGTTCCTACGGGACAAAGCCGTGGGAGAACTGTACTCAGCAAGTTAATGGCCGCTATTGCTGGCAGGTGAGAATTTAAATGCATTAACTAGTTGTCAGTTACATTTGTTTCTTGTTTCTGTTGTGTAGTGTTAGTTATTTTGTTGAGTTTTACGAATTGAAGCACCAGAGTTAATTCCAGAACTGATTTGTTGTTGTTGTGTTTGTGTGAGTAAAATCCTCCCCAGCAGTACTTCCACCAAGTGGGACTTTGCAGTATTTGCATCAATCATTCTGCGTGTTGAACAGTTTATATCATCGCAAAGTTGGCAACATTTCACTGTTTTATCAGTTTACAGTTATTTGTGTGTGTGTGTGTCTATATCCACATTATTTAAATTAAGATTCCTGGACCCCACGCCATTGTGGGGATAACAAGAATAGACCCACTGTCACCCCAGCAAGCATGTCATAAGAGTAAACTAATTGGAAGCTTCCTTTGAAGTCAGAGTGCATCTGCCTGAGACGCAGGGAACCAACAATCTGCACACAAAACTCAGGTTCTGGAAAAAGGCTAATGTACAGAGGTGGACGAACAACCAGAACTTTCAGCCGGTGTTTGCAGCTGGTGAATGCGAAGAAGAAGAAAAGTGAACAGTGAGGAAGCAAAGATGGATCAGTGCGGTCTCAGGAGAGTGGTGCTGCGAGGAGTGACCTGGGGATCTGGCCGAGGTTCAGCTGTTGCTGTTACCATCGAATGGGAACTCTGCGCCTGCTACTGAAGATGGTGATGCAACGCTTACTGAAATGCCTCAGTTGCTGTGATGTCAATTCCTAATTAAACATTAATAACTAAAAATTAAATTTTAATTGAAATGTCATTAGAGAAGTTGTCAAATATTTGTCTTGTATTATGACCGCAGTAAATTTGTTTTCAAACTGCATCATTTGTTCCACAAACAGAATTTTTTGACCTCCCTGGAGTTCATTACTGAAGGTACAGACTTTGTGTGTTTTATGTGACACTTTTAACAGGTGGTTAGCCAGGTTTACTAGCTAAATGAGAGTAAAATCTGGTACAGTGCATTTGTTTCTTTCACCTTGGTTAACCTATGTTCTTGTATGTACTTCAGGTGTTCAAGGACGGCAAATGTAATCAGGAGTGCAACAATCAAAACTGCCTCTATGACGGGTTCGACTGCCAGGGACCAGTTGACAGATGCTTGTATGAAAATTACTGTTTGATGAATTACAATAATGGGCACTGTGACAACGGCTGCAACATGGCGGAGTGCGACTGGGATGGCTTAGACTGTGATACTGGTAAGACAGAATTTTGTTTTATTCACAGAATTTGTCGCAAGACTGCTTTTACACTCTTGTACTGCCTAGAGTACCACTTTTTAGTGTGATGTAAAAAAAAGGGGGGGGGGGGGGGGGGGGGGGGGGGGGGCTAGTGCATCTTCCATTTAGACTTTCTATGGATTTATAATGAAGTAGTTTCCCCTTGCTTTCCACATCCACATGGCTGAGCATCTCAACCTTCAGCAATATTTTTAGGTTGCCAGGGGGAAGGAATACTCTACTCTGTGATGGTGGTCTGGAGAGAACAGTGATGAAGGGCACAGTTTCTGGAAAACAAGACAGAGGCTGACCTTTATGAATGTGGATGGAGGACATTGATGATGCATTGGCAGTGAAAGGACACAGGGTTGGAGAAATGGCTAGAGAAAGAGAGGATTTCAGGTGCTCTGTGAACTCGGCAAGGTTCTGTACAGGACATGCTGACTGACTGATTGATTGGCTAGTGCAGTGTTGTGAACTGTGCAGTGTTGTGAACTGTGCAGTGTTGTGAACTGTGCAGTGTTGTGAACTGCAGTGTTGTGAACTGTGCAGGTTGTTAAGATGTTTATTTTTTCCCAGACAGCAAAAACTTCATCTCTCCGGTTGACCTTCTCTTTCCAGTTGATGACACCAAAGTGTTTGCAGGTCTGTCTTGATATTATCTCTCCATCATCTTCTTGGTCTGCCTCATGGTCTACGACCATTTATCTCCCTTGTGTATACAGTTTTTACTTCTCTTTCATCTGACATTCTTTCCCCAGCCATTTCAGTCTGTTAGCTATTATGATGCCAGTGATCAGTGATGATTTAAACAAATTTTGAATTTCATTGTTGCTTCTCATTCTCCATATGCTGTTTGCATCTTTGAAAGTTTGAGACCATTGTTAGTGACGGAAATATTTGTGATTGTTGATTTTGAATTTCAGATACAGCCAAACTTGTTCCTGGATCCCTTTTCATCATTGTGCTGATCGAACCCGAGGAATTTCAACAAATCAAGAAAGAGTTTGTGCGTCAGCTGGGGCATGTCTTACGTGCAGTTGTGCGCATCAAGAAGACAACTTCTGGAGAAGAGATGATCTACCCCTGGCAAGGCGAAACTTCAGAGAGTAATGACTCGGTGCTACAGCGCACCAGAAGGTGGGCAGAGACATTGCTGAGGCGGCATCATTGGAGAGCCAAGAGATCTCTCCTGACTGGGTATGGCATTGTTTTTGAATGTTTATTGAAATGAATAAATGTGTTTATTTAAGTCATTGTTAAAATGATTATCGAAGTGTATTTAAAGTGAATTATTGAAGTGTTTATTGAAGTCATTATTAAGGTGAGTTTTGCATTTTTTTGCTTTTTTATGTGAATTATTGAAGTCATTAAAATAATTTTATTGAAGTGTTTATTGAAGTCATTATTAAAATAATTTTATTGAAGTGTTTATTGAAGTCATTATTAAAATAATTTTATTGAAGTGTTTATTGACGTCATTATTATGGTTATATTTTTTTGGTTTTTTTTGTTAAGTGATATTGGACCTGCAGTCAGCAGCCTGGAAGGGGGGGGGGGGGGGGGATGTATAAGAAACCATTTACTCAATGGACGAATGGCATAAAGATGGTCCTGAAAATATGTGTCTAGCATCGTGGCATTTATTCACTTTATTTACCTGGCATGATGTTGACCTCTTCTTCTTCTTTTTCTTACAGTCTTTGTCGTGTGGCGTTGGTAGTCATGTCTGTCCACAACCTTCTGTCTTGTATACTTTCAATCAACTCTTGTAGGTAAAGCTGCTGGGGAGGGCGGAAGAACCATGGACCATGCTGATAGTCTGAATGCTCTATGAGAAGTAAAAAGTTTGCGAGAATCAAGTGACAACTGTGAATCTGCAACTGTGACCAGACTGCAAGAATAACATGTTAAAAGGGGTGTGGTCAGACAAGAGCAATATGCAGGAAGCCAAAGAAGAACAAGAAACCAACAGAGAACTGGTGTCGTGAGCCGCTAGAGGCTGAGGGCTTTACTAAGAAGGGGATGCGAGCACTTAAGGACTGAATGGTTCAATGTGCAATGAGGAGAATCTGTCAGCTAACTAACTAACTATCCGTATACTTCACAGCACAAAAGTCTTCTTAGAAATTGACAACAGAGCCTGCTTCAAGCTGGAAAACAAGGAATGCTTTGACAACACTGATCACATTGCACAGTTTGTTGTAGCAGCACTGCTCAATAAAGACTATGAACCAGCGGTGGCTGTCCACCAAGTTGGAAGTAAGTGGATTTTTGTTTTCTGTGTTTTGGATGTAGCCTTTTTTTTTTTTAAATTGTTCCCTCTACACAATAAAGGTCGTTTAACGAGATTTGTGCAACCAGAGTCCACTGATGACTTTATATTAGAATTAGAATTGATAAACAGCAGAAGAATTATGTGACTCACGTAGAAATGGCAAGTTTTATCATTTACTAGACACAAGAGTTTTAGTTAGAAATTGTGGTTTCTACTATCTTGACCAAGGTGAAGTTACGTTACATGTATGTTGATTCACTTCCAATCAGGTACACTTTTTTGTTTTTAATGTGCTGTGAGGACATAAATGCTGTATTTATTTTAACTTACTTTCTTGTGATTTCAAATTTCATGTAACTGAATTAAAAGCACCCAGTAATATGTTGCAATGTTTCTTTTTATCCTCTTCCTTGTAGCTGTGGATCCAGATGGTCCAACTTCGGAATCCAGTGCCAACCCCAACATATTCATTGCATTTGTAGTCGTGTGTGGCTCCATTCTTGTCCTGACAGTGGTGGTGATTGTTGTCTTGAAGCGGAAGCGTTTCCGTGGCGTCACCTGGTTCCCGGATGGCTTCTTTAGCCGATCCAGTGAACCCGCAAAACCAGCTCGAAACCGTAAGGGACCTGATGGAGAGGAAATGCAGTAAGTTACGTTAAACAGAATTTATAAGTAGTTGAGAACAAGATCAATGTCCGTAATTTTTTCTAAGCTGCTCTTTAAAAAAGTTGAATGTTGAAATTTCCCCTGAGTGTCGAGCATCGGCCAGTCCCCTCGTAACTCCTCGCAGCGCCATTCTCCTCAGACTGTAATGATTTATGTGTTCCTCGGCATTGTTCACTCACTTTCAAAGGGCCCTCACAACATCCAGCTTGTCATACATCAGTTCACCACCAAGTGGTGCAGAGCCGGCCAGTCTATCTGCCTGCTCATTTCCCAACACACTGGCATTACCTAGAGAAAATATTCAAAGGATGCTAATTACCAGAGACCTCTGAAGTGATGCTTGCCACTCTGCACGGAGCATGCCTGTCTGCTCTTTAATAATGAGGGCAGTAAACTGTGCAATTATTTGTGTCCCCCATTGCTAGAATTAAAAACGGGGAAATCTCTTAATTGCAGAATCTTTATTGCGTAGTTTATTTATTTTTGTAAATACTTTCTAGATTTTTAATTTTCTTGTTGTTGTTGTTGCCACTTGAGCACTGAATTGTACCTATGTTGAAACCATTTATGTACAAAGAATTTATGTTAAAATTTATATTTCTAGAAACAGAATTCTTATTTTCAGTTTTATATATATATATAAATATATTGGGGGAACAGCATGGACAGGTTGTTAGTCTACCTTGCTGCCAAATTAGAGGTTAAGATTCAATCCTACTAGAAAAAGGTTTTTTTTTTTTTTTGCTTACTGGTACAACCATGGGGACTTATAAAAATGGATACCAGGCAATTTGCCTTATTTTCTAGGAATAATTTAGAAAAACAAACTGCTTATAGAGAGTAAATGGCTACCCCGTCTTACATAACATAATGTGTGAAAGCCTAGCATTACACATCTAATTATCTGCTTAAGAAACAGCTCGATTTTACAGTTAAATCTGTCTTGTGTTAAAACAGCTGGCCAACCTAATAAATGAATGTTTCAACACTGCAAGAAGTTTATTATTCATTGTTGTAAAATTGTTTTCTCTGTACATTTTTCTTAGTGATAAACTGGACAAAATGGATGCCAATGACAATCACACTTCCCCTCCTCCAAGTAATGAATGTTGGCAAGAAGATGATGATGATGACAGGCCTCAGATTAAAAGAGCGAAGGTGAGAATTTCCTCTTTTTGACTGACTGACTTTTTACTCCACCGGGACATCACACAGAGTGGTAAACACCCAGTGACACAAGGTGCCACCATGCGGATGAGGATCATCCGTGGAGAGGTCCCGGAAACCCTGTTCAGCCGTTAGGCCATATTTATGGCCCGGCTATACTTAGGGACCCTGGCACAAGCCAGAGTGGGGCTTCAAAATAACCCCCCAAAAAATTGCATCCCACCAGGGGGGGGGGGGGGGGGGGGTGACTTGTGAACAACTTCCCCTTTTTTCTTTATGTAAGCAAGCTAGCTACTTACACTTGCAGAAATAAGTAGAACATGAAACAAAATTGCCCTGGTGTATTAAAGTACAAAATATTTTTTTCTATATTGGGCATATGGTGCTAGACTCAAAACGTCTGCCTTCCCGTATGGATTCTGGGGCCCCATTGTGGGGGGAAAACAAGAAAAGATCAATGCCTCCCCAACAAGCATGTCATAGGAGACAACTAATTGGCAGTTCCTTGGAAGTTGGAATACATTTGCTCAAGCCACAAGGAATAATCAACTGCATACAAATAAGCCAGTTTAACAAATGTTCACGCAAAACTCAGTTTCCTGGCACAAAGCCAAAGTCCAAATGGACGAACAACCTGGACTTTTTGCTGAAGCTTACAGCTGGTGAACTAAGAAAAGAAGAAAACATCAGCCTTGATGCAGGTTCTTCTTTTTCTTTTTTTTTTTTTTTTAACATTCACCCCCTGCAAAGTCCTGCAAAAATTTTAGTTAAGCATGTATTTGAAGTAGATGAGTTGGCTTAGGAATCCACTCAGGGAGATGCAGATTCAAGTCCAAGACCTTCAGGCTGACAGGCAAGCACCTAGCCACCGCACAGTCATAATCCACTAATTTTGTTTGCTGTCATATTATATTGTAAAACATGAAATACTGTTTTGTGGTCTACATTTATAATACATACAATTTCAGACTGAGAGACAAGGCAAGAGTGTTGACCGGATGATGGACGTGGCTGACACACGACAGTGGACTGTCAAACATCTGGATGCTGCCAACATCCCTCACAACTCTCAGTCGGCATTGACACCCCCTCAGGGAGAAGATAATATGCAGACTGTCATCGATGTCAATGTCAGGGGTCCTGGTGAGTGGTCATCCATTCTCTTCACTCATTTTGTACCATGGAACCTATTATCACTTTGTTGCTTTCTGACCAGTCAGACTGGACCACTGTCCAGGTGAATTTGGCCAAGGGGTGAGGAGATAGTCAGCGCGGAATGAGCTGAAAGTATTGTGCTGATGTGGAGGCGAATCTGTGATGTGTTGACTGTTGTGTGAGGGAGGTGTTGGGTACTGCTCTAGAGTCAGGGTTACACAATATAATTTTCTTAACTTCTTGTTAAGAAATGTATTAAAGAAATAAGAATGTCCAAGTTAGTTAGTTGCATATCCTTCACAGGACGTTCCAGAACCAACCCCACCATTTTTTGGCAGTTGTGGTTTTACAAGGCAAATTTTACATTCACCAGTTTTCCATAGCTTTCTCAGCGAACAGCTCTCGGTACCACTGTTAAAACCATTGCAACGACGATCTGCTGCCAAATCTTCCACAGCTGGGAATCAACATGGCACCCCGGCATTACAAAACCTGTTCGTAACGCTTAAACCACAGATGCCAAATGTCCAAGAGAAACCCAAAAATGGATGGTAATGAGAGAAGCTAAAGGTGCTGAACTGGATTCCATGCATGATATTAGAAAAAAGACTGCACAGGATAGATGGGAATGAAGGACTGAGCCCTAAATGGCTTTACATCTTTTTGTCTTAAATTAAAGGATCCTTTTCCACGCCTTTCAGGCCTATTGGGTATATAGGGCTAGACCTATATTTTATAGATCAATGGCACAAGATGGGTGATGTGGTCAGCATCACGCCGGCCGCATTTACTTCCTAGGACTGTATCTGATACTCACTCAAGGCTGGGTCGACCTGGAAGCCAAGGTTATTTTTGAAAAAAGTCCGGCTTCGCCAGAGAGCAAACCACCTTCCGATCTGCAATGCCACGGCTACTATCTTTTTGTCTTGTATTATTATTTTAACTTCTTTGGATTCAGACTCCCTTTGTCTGTTTCAGGGGACAAGTTTTGGGTAAAACAGAAGACGCGCTGCTTCTTAAAAATTATGTTGTATAAAGGTGACTATGTAAGGAAAAGGATTTGCTTAAATCAGATGTTTTGGGCCCCTAAAAGGTGCAGATATCACAACCGCATCATAATATGCCAGCTACACTTTTAATAGGTGCGCAGAGGAAGAAGAAGATTCAGACTGTTATTAATGTATTATATTATATATAATAAACAAACTGACAATGTATTGATCGGCACTCATAGAAAGAAGTAGCAAGATAGAAGGATACACTAGATAACATAAAAATTGAAAGCTGTAGTTTGAAATTGTTATGTTGTCTGGTGTGTCCTTCCATCTTTGCTACTTCATACTATGAGATGTAGGATAGTAGACAGTGTTCTTTCTAAGTTGTACTAGATTATGGTAGGCACATAAACATTCCACAGGGCACATATTTTTGACTCAGCACCCAAAGAGATGTCATATTGACAAAATGTCTGTAGGCTGTCTCATTAAATTAATGCTAGTAGCTGCATCGGAAAAGCATTCTAGTAAAACAGTTTTCACATTTTCACAGTGTGTTTCCTGTCAACACCAGCAAATTTTCTTCACTTCTTGATTCACTTGAAGTTTGTTTTCTTCTCATCCAGAGTCTACATTAAAGATTCTATCATAACTTCTGTTCTACACAGTGGTGAATTAATTAAACTGATGTAACATTACAGTTAAATATTCTTAAGTGTGCATCAGGTTTACTTTCTTTAGACTTCTGCAAATTGCCTAGTGCAACGAATACAACCACTAGTTAATTGTCCGGTGCAGCAATGCATGTATTGTATTTCTATTCTTTTCCACAGATGGATTTACCCCTCTCATGTTGGCATCAATTCGTGGCGGTGGCCTCGGAGAGGATGATGACAGCAACTCTGGTTCTGGCTCTGCTGAAGGTGGAGACAGCGACAACAACACATCTGTGGATGTGATCTCCAGTCTTCTTATGCAGGGGGCTGCTATTAATGCCCAGACCGATAGAACAGGTATGTTGTATCTGTATTGAAATGCGCCTACATTTTTGTGTGCTCTTTCAGTTACCATTAGTAGGCAACCATTAGTCTCTGGGGAATAAGGAGTTGTGCTGCTGGAAACAGAGTCTGCTATGACCGTATCTGTTGCTTCCCATGTTGTGTTGAAGCTGTTAAGTGACACTGAAAGACCTCACCAGGGCACAGGCTGAGGCACATTGAACTGAAGTACAGGCTGTTGCCCATGCAGCAGGTACCCCCTCTCTACGTCACAGGTAATAGCAAGGAAGGGCAAATGCCGTACAGCTTGGCACCAAAGACATTGCAAGAATTGCTGGATAGCGGTGCAGACACTGTTGAACCACCTTAAATTACCATAAATTGTGGCTTACAAGTCGACCTGGTGTACAAGCCAACCTCGAGATATTTAGCTAAAAATTCTCATGGCTACACCTATCTAATGTATTTTATACCTGCCATATAAGCCGAAATCAAGAAACTCTAGAAAGTATAACCAAGAGAAGATGGAAATAGCTTGGCCACGTTATGAGAATGAATCCTGATATACTTGCCAAAACAGCTCTCACTTGGAAACAAGAGGGAAAGAGAAAACAGGGGCACCCAAAAACAACATGGAGACGAACGATGGAAAGTGGCCTGAGTGCGGCATCTTTAACATGAAAAACTGCACTGAAGATTGCACAGGACAGGAAAGCATGGAAAGTCCTCTCTGAAGCCTCATGTGCCACTAGGCATAACGAGAATTGATGATGATAATATAAGCCAAAGCCTAGTTTTGGACAGCGTTTTTTTAGGCTTGCCAACTGCCAGTGTGCCACAGTTTATGATATTATCGTCATTCTTGAGGACACAGTGTTGTTTTTGTTTTCTTGTATAGACATCAGTTGTCAAGATAGAGATAATATTTTTAGCAGATATTGGTGTTGCTAATTTCAGATATTTTAAGTTTACTCTTTCATGAGATAAGAATACAAACGATGTGCAATGTTGGGCCTTCACAGTTTCTAGGCCATGGTGTGTGATGTTGGTGACCAGTTCCCTTTCCTGACACCTTTATTTCCCAGACAGTTATCTAAACAATTATGGATATTATCTGGTACCCATTAGCCTGGGTCAACGCCATAGCAGAAAAGGCAGTATTAGCCTTTTTTTTTTTTTTATGTAGAATAAAGATTTTTTAAACAAAAGATTAGGAATACATTAAAGGCCTGTTTAATGACAACTAAATGTTAACACATTCAATGTTTAAATCAAATTCTTTTGATCTTTATCGGTAAAAATTTTTTTTAATTCAAAATGAAACAAATTCTTTTGCCATGATAATCTGCTGCTACATTGCCTTGTCCATATGCCTCCACTGAGCAGACTTTTTTCCTTTATCGCAGGTGAAACTTCACTGCATCTTGCTGCTCTACATTGTCTTGTCCATATGCCTCCACTGAGCAGACTTGTTTCTTTTATCACAGGTGAAACTTCACTGCATCTTGCTGCTCGTTACGCCCGAGTTGATGCAGCAAAGGTTCTGCTGGATGCAGGTGCTGACCCTAATGCCCAGGACAGTTCTGGAAGGACACCACTTCACACAGCAGTAGCTGCTGATGCTCAAGGGGTTTTCCAGGTAAGAGGTTGTGTCCAGTGTAGCCTATCGTTTCTAGTGTTGACTGGTGTGTCCAGTGTAGCCTATCGTTTCTAGTGTTGACTGGTGTGTCCAGTGTAGCATGTCGTTTCTAGTGTTGACTGGTGTGTCCAGTGTAGCCTATCGTTTCTAGTGTTGACTGGTGTAGCCTATCGTTTCTAGTGTTGACTGGTGTGTCCAGTGTAGCCTATCGTTTCTAGTGTTGACTGGTGTGTCCAGTGTAGTCTATCGTTTCTAGTGTTGACTGGTGTGTCCAGTGTAGCCTATTGTTTCTAGTGTTGACTGGTGTGTCCAGTGTAGCATGTCGTTTCTAGTGTTGACTGGTGTGTCCAGTGTAGCCTATTGTTTCTAGTGTTGACTGGTGTGTCCAGTGTAGCCTATTGTTTCTGGTGTGTCCAGTGTAGCCTATTGTTTCTAGTGTTGACTGGTGTGTCCAGTGTAGCATGTCGTTTCTAGTGTTGACTGGTGTGTCCAGTGTAGCCTATTGTTTCTAGTGTTGACTGGTGTGTCCAGTGTAGCCTATCGTTTCTAGTGTTGACTGGTGTGTCCAGTGTAGCCTATTGTTTCTAGTGTTGACTGGTGTGTCCAGTGTAGCCTATTGTTTCTAGTGTTGACTGGTGTGTCCAGTGTAGTCTATTGTTTCTAGTGTTGACTGGTGTGTCCAGTGTAGCCTATTGTTTCTAGTGTTGACTGGTGTGTCCAGTGTAGCCTATTGTTTCTAGTGTTGACTGGTGTGTCCAGTGTAGCCTATTGTTTCTAGTGTTGACTGGTGTGTCCAGTGTAGCCTATTGTTTCTAGTGTTGACTGGTGTGTCCAGTGTAGCCTATTGTTTCTAGTGTTGACTGGTGTGTCCAGTATAAACTATTGTTTCTAGTGTTGACTGGCGTGTCCAGTGTTAACTATTGTTTCTAGTGTTGACTGGTGTGTCCAGTGTAGACTATTGTTTCTAGTGTTGACTGGTGTGTCCAGTGTAGCCTATCGTTTCTAGTGTTGACTGGTGTGTCCAGTGTAGCCTATTGTTTCTGGTGTGTCCAGTGTAGCCTATCGTTTCTAGTGTTGACTAGTGTGTCCAGTGTAGCCTATTGTTTCTAGTGTTGACTGGTGTGTCCAGTGTAGCCTATCGTTTCTAGTGTTGACTGGTGTGTCCAATGTAGCCTATTGTTTCTAGTGTTGACTGGTGTGTCCAGTGTAGCCTATTGTTTCTAGTGTTGACTGGTGTGTCCAGTATAAACTATTGTTTCTAGTGTTGACTGGTGTGTCCAGTATAAACTATTGTTTCTAGTGTTGACTGGTGTGTCCAGTGTAGCCTATTGTTTCTAGTGTTGACTGGTGTGTCCAGTGTTAACTATTGTTTCTAGTGTTGACTGGTGTGTCCAGTGTAGCCTATTGTTTCTAGTGTTGACTGGTGTGTCCAGTGTAGCCTATTGTTTCTAGTGTTGACTGGTGTGTCCAGTATAAACTATTGTTTTTAGTGTTGACTGGTGTGTCCAGTATAAACTATTGTTTCTAGTGTTGACTGGTGTGTCCAGTGTAGCCTATCGTTTCTAGTGTTGACTGGTGTGTCCAGTGTAGCCTATTGTTTCTGGTGTGTCCAGTGTAGCCTATCGTTTCTAGTGTTGACTGGTGTGTCCAGTGTAGCCTATCGTTTCTAGTGTTGACTGGTGTGTCCAGTGTATATGTCTGATTGTATATCCGTCTTGTTTTTTCCTAAAGTGTTTAGCCTCGGCCAGATCCCCTGGTAATTCCTCGCAGCGCCATTTTCTTCAGACCGTAATGATCTGTCTGTGCCTCTAGTACTGATTATTGTGTGAACTATTACATACAGGGAAGCCGCATTAGCATAGTGGCTAGACTTGCCTGCTGGTCTAAAGGTCTAGGGTTCAAATCTGCAGGGAAACTTTTTTTTAAATTGACCTTGATTCCCAGATCAAACCAACATAAAATGGGTACCAGGTAATTGCACTGGAAGTAAAAGTGGCCGGCGTGATGTTGACCACATTACACATTCAGGGCTGACTGGTCTCTCAAATATGTCTAGCCTCATATTGGTTGGTTGAGTCGAGTCAAGAATTGACATAACAGCGCTCAGGGCACTCCCGTGTGTGCTTTGTCCTCATCTTCAGCAGCCAGTGCAGAGTTCCAATACTAATGGTACTGGTCACAATCTGGTTATATGTCCGTCTTGCCTTTTCTCTAAGTGTAGTGATCTGGCCAGACCCTCTGGTTACACTCAGGTGCCTCATTCTCTCCAGGCCATAATAATCTTGTTTCTCTACTGATTCCGTTGCTTGTTCCAGTAGGACCTTGACCACATATTGCTCAGTGAGCCACCAGCTTGAAAAAGTACTTACTTTTTTATGAAATCCAGTTTTTAATTGTTTACTGTTTTTTAACTTGTATGTCAGGGAAGCCATTGTTGTGTGGAAGCTAGATGCTGGCCTAGGGAGATGAAGTTCATGGGTTCAGGCCTAGAAGGAGCCAGAATGTTTTTTCTTCCCAGGTCAGCCTAGCCTTAAATGGAATGGATACCAGGTAAAGCCCTGGGAAGTAAAGGTGGCCGGCATGATGCTGACCACATCACACACCGAGTGCTGGGCTGGTCTATAAAATATAGGTCCAGCCGTGGATGCCCACTATGCCTAAAGGTGTGGAAAAGGCTCCTGGACTGATATGTCATCAGTTCACTGACCACTCTTTTTTCCTCCTCCACAGATATTACTGAGGAACAGATCCACTAACTTGAATGCACGCATGCTGTGTGGTACTACCCCGCTGATTTTAGCCTGCAGACTTGCGATAGAAGATACTGTGGAGGAACTCATTGCTGCCGATGCTGATATTGAGGCTGCTGATAATAATGGTGGGGTTTTATTTTTCTTCTTTTTTTTTTAAATTTTTAATTCTTTAATTTTTGTATTTATAATTGTTTTGGTTTTTTTTTTTTTTTCTTTGCTTATTCTGCTTCTCCTTTTGTTTTTGTTTGTTTTATTCTTTTGTAATCTTGTTTTATAATTTTCAGCATTTGGTTCCAGACATTGGAATTCAGGCTTTCGAATCTTTTTTTTTTTTTTTTGGTTTATTTGTGAAATTAAACAGAGTTTGGTTGACAATCAAAGTTACAGTACTCAGGACATTTGCAATCATTTATCTGCCCCTTGTCTGGGCATCAGATGCAGAGTTTCAGTTCTGATGGTGGCATATCATCTGTGGAACTCAAAGTAGATTAAAACTGATACCAAACTGATAATATTTGGCTGCAGTGTCAAATCAGTACTTATGTATGGAGCCGAAGCAACTACCAGTAACTAACTGGTGACTTTTCTTCACATGGAATGGCTCGCATAAGTCCAGAGTTCACAGGTGCTGAGAGTCATATGGATATTTTACCTGGAGTGTGAAGGCGCATTTGGAAATGAGCAGGCAGATAGGTTGGCTGGGCTGGCCTCACTGGAAATGTACTGAAACTGCAGAGGTGATCTTATTGCCTGTGGAATGGGGAAATGAGTGAAAGTGAAATATTGGAAACTTGTACCAGAAGAGAGTGATGCAGTAGGACCAGGAGAGAGTGATGCAGTAGCACCAGGAGAGAGTGATGCAGTAGGAAGTATCTGCGGCTCTGGGCCCCACTTAAGACTTCGGAAAAAGGCAAGATGATAATTATCAGAGATCTCACTACCCAGAGATCAGGGGGAATTACTAGAAGTCCAAGTCCATGTGAAAAAATCCCAGCCCTTACCGGGGATTGAACCCGGAACCTCCAGCACTTGAGGTGGACACCATGCCCCCCCCCCACCCCACCCCATCAGTATAGAGACTCATTGCTGGGTGTTGAGACATGAAGCTACCATATTTGTCCGTGTATTAGTGTCTGTTTTCCCAAATCTTTTAAAGTTTAAAACTGGCAACCATTTTATAAGCATAATATGTTTAAATATTATATACGCACTGTGTCAGACTCTCCATCGGTCCCTGCGATTCAAGCCTGGCATCAGAATTCTAGAAGGTACTTGGATGCCAAGGTACAGTAGCCTACTAGTGTTCACTTGTATTTTTTTTATTTTTATTTATAGCTGCTTCTTCCTCTTCTTTTTCATCTCTTCCGCCTCCTCCTCCTCTCCACCTTCTTCTCCTCCTCTTCCTCTTCTCCCTCTTTTCCTCCAACTGCTTGTATATTATTTCTTCATTGTCTTTTTTCTCTGCCTCATATTTACTGCCATTCAACTCTTTTGTGTAGGATGTTTTTTTCCTTCACTTTTATCTTCCATTCTCTCTCTTTTGTGCTATCATTGCAGTCTCTTAGCCCTCATAATGCCAGCTCTCTGCTATTTGGATCTGTGATGGGTCCAGAGATATTTCTTAAGACTAAGTTCTCAACAGATTTATAATAAAGCTTCATTTCCAATTGTTGTCTTCAGACCTATATAGGACTGTTGAAAAATTTATAGACAAAAACATTTTTATTCTTTTTTTTTTTTTTCAGGAGGAAACGCCACTATTTTTAGCTTCACGGGAAGGAGGTTTTGAAACAGTAAAGGTCCTGCTTAACCAGTATGCAAATAGAGACATGACAGATCACATGGATCGTTTGCCACGAGATATTGCCCTGGAGCGTCGTCACCACGACATCGTGGAATTATTGGATACTTACAAAATTGCATCTCCGGCTACAGCTGTTCATTTGGGGGTGACCTCACCAAATAACCATTCGGGAATTGTGAGTGTTGGTGGGTACATGCATCCCATCAAACAGAAAGCTAAGAGCCGGAAGAATAAGAATGCTCCAGTGAAAGATCCTGGTCCATCTTCACCACATAACGGCACTACTGGTGTTCCTGTTATCAGTGTGAAAAGTAACTCTAGGAAGAAGAAGGCAGATGGTGAAAGTGCCGCCAGTAGGAAGAAGAACCAGCAGCAGCAGCTGCAACAGATGCCATTATCGTTGGTTTCCTCACAAAACCAGACTCAAGTCCGCCATCAGTCCACGAGTGATGCTTCACCTATGAGTACCATTTCCCCAGGAGGTTATTCCATAGACTTGCATCACTCACCTCAAGCTTATGAGACATCCCCTCCAAGATATGAGAACTCTCTCAATGGAGGCAGGCATCTTCTAGATGATTTCCAAGTGATGGCTGGACATTACAGCTCACCATCTCTCATGGATCATGCAAATGTAGAAAACTTGCTGACTGACTGGACCATCCCACAATACAAGCATCAGTTGCCGCCACAGAAGCAGCAACACCAGCTGCAACAACCTTGTGGTGGAGGCTTGGTGGCCACGTTACAAAATGGCCATTTAGCATCTTCTGGGGGTGGGAGCTCTCCTAACCTTCAGACCGGGCTAGTCGGTGGAGGTTCATCTGCCGGCATTATGGGGTCAGTAGGTCATGCACCGCCTTCATCCATGAAGGGCAAAAATTTAGCCATGTCACCAACTCACATTCAGGCACTCCAACAGCATGCACAGCAACGAGCTGCACACGGGAGCCCCCACCATCGAGCAAATGACTTTCCCGCTTCATTCCAGCTGGATGGGACCACCCAGCTCCCGGGCCCCCAGACAGTGGCACAACTCTTTTCAGGAAGCATGCAGCACAAGATGGTCCAGCCACAGCAGCAGCATCTTCACCAACAGCAGCAGCAGCAAACAATACAGCAGCAACCGCAACAGTTGCAGCAGCAAGGGGGTTACACCCTGACTCTGGAGCAGTACCCAACACCTCCCTCACACAACAGTCAACACATCACAGATTCGCCTCCACATCAGCACAATACATTCAGCTCATTCCGCCCTGACCATCTCCTCACCCCTTCGCCAGATTCACCTGGACAGTGGTCCAGTTCATCACCACATTCAGCCCAGTCTGACTGGTCAGAAGGAATCTCCAGTCCGGCCCCAGCTATTACTGGGGTGCCAAACCCTCTAAGGAACAAACGTTTACAAGAACATGCCTATTTTTAACTTGCATTCTTGGTACTACAGTTCACCACTGCATGCCTTCTGTTAACAAAGGGGAATTAAACATGTGACACCCGTTAACAAAGGGGAATTAAACATGTGACACCCGTTAACAACAGGAAATGAAACAGCAACTGTTTTACTTTGTACAGGAAATCAATAGAACTGATAAGCTTATAGCTGAATTCACAAATATTTCCCTGAGTTTATTCACAGGCAAGGAAAATGTAATCTAATATAAAAGCACACGGAAATAATTCATCAATGTTAAATGTGTTCACAGCTTCCTAACGTGCTTCAACGTATATGTCAAACAGTTAGACATTAGATTGAATGAGGTTTCGAAGGAACAGGACACAATTCCATAAGACCTTAATTTTATAATCTATTTGTAGTTCTTATGCATGAACAGATTGTGTGTATGTTTAAATGTGCGGTTAAATGTTTTCTACATTCTAGCTATTGGTCTGGATATTTGAATCAGTATTCTGTTGTTGACATGCTAATCTAAGGCTCCGCTACACACATGATAATGTGAGGTAAAATCTCACTCCGAAGGATCTGTTCTTTGGCTACTTTGCTCATAGGTGCCTAGCAGATATTTTATTTTGACTTTATTTACGTAATTTGTTTTAAAATACTGAATCTACAAATGTGCTGTCACAAAATTCCAGTTTACCAGTAATAATTGTCTTAAATATTATTGACTACGTAGGGTTTATGTTTTGATGTGAGCCAGAGTGCCAGACGTTGCCAGAGTTTTGACACCATGCAAAAAAAGGTTGTTTGACAGGCTGGACAATATCATGGCCCAAGTTATCTTTTGCCAGGCTGGACAGGGTCACAGTCTAAGTTATCAGGTGCAGCATCTTAGACAACATATATGAAAAGTGATTAATTTATATTGAATACATCAATCATTACCTCTACAAACACTTGGTGCCACCAACTTGGAAGAGAAGGAAAACCAGAGAGATGAGTGGAGACAGGTGATATCTGCAGCAGTGAACCTCAAGGGCTCGGAATGCTGAAGAAAAAGGTCAGTCCTTACCTGCATATGAATACAGATCACACCTGGCTGCTGTAGCCATTACAGTTGCCCTAATTTTAACTTTTTTGGAGGTTTTAATCTCAGGATGATACAGTAAACCTTTAGGTAACAGCCAAGACGAGGTCTAACCGATCGATTGATCATGGTTGGATACCTTCCTTCTGGTTTATTGTTTGATGAAGTGAAGTAGTTTTAATGGGATTTTCTTTTCTTTTTTCAGCTGACATAATATGTTTCCCCCAGTGTATTGTTTGATACTACAGCAGAGTTTGGTGGTATCTGCTAGGCATTGCAATGTTTAATGGATAATACACATTTTTCAGCACAGCACCAGCTGTGACTAGAAAGCTCAACAGAGGGGATGGAAATGATGTATACAAATACCTGTGAACATTTTGACCAAAATCTTCATCAGAGGAATACTAAATAACACATAAATTGTGACCAGAAAACTCAGTTGACAAGACAGCAGATCTTGTTAAACAACCGTAGTCAACATGAAACCAGAAATAGATAATAGGAGAAAATATAGAGGGATATATTTCAGAATGAAACAAAATAAGAAGGTGTCTTGAAACAAATAGGGGGAAATATACAAAAGTATCATTGCATGTCCTTTACAGGATGTTGCAGAACAAACTCCAGCATTTTTTGTTGTTGCTGTTTTTAATTTCACTAGCCAATTTTACATTCATTAGTTTGCCATTGCCTTCTCAATGGTTGGCTGTCAATGAATGCCACAGTTGAAAGCAATGCAAGGCAGTCTGCTGCAAAACAGCCTGCAGCTGGAATCGAATCCAGCACCATGGACATGTGAAGCTTATCCGCAACACCTTAACCACAAAGACCAGCTGGGAGAAAAAGTAACTTAAATAAATGAGAATTAAATAAAGGTGTACTGAATATTGATCCCTACAGGGCTAAGAATGTTAAAACTGATTGAAGCCTTTATCCAAGGAGAGGTAGCTGATTTTATCACCAGTGCAAGATTTTATGGCAGTAACTGAGACGTCACTTCACCTTGGTAGTCAGAACTACTGAAATAGATGCAAACTGTTTTAGTCCAGGGGTGGGCAGCTTTTTAAATATTTTTATAGTCTACGGCCAAGTTTATAATTACCAACCTGGTCTTGGACCATATAGAAAAATAATCTATTATTAACATAATACCCAGATTTCATCGTGAATGTCCGAGTTTTGCCACAACATATGTTTCACTAGCGGGATCAAAGATTTGGTGAAATTAATTGCTAGTTATCTCTATTTAGCTTATTTTTTTTTTTTTTTTTTTTCATTTGTTATGTTGTTGATATTGTGAGTTTTTTTTTTTTCTACATATGAAAGAAAGTATGCATTTTTTTTTTTTTTTTTCTATTTTGTGAGCTCAAGGGCCAGATTATACAGTAATTTTACACCAGCCTATGGGCCAGTAAAAATAATTGATCGAACCAGTTTTGGGCCCCCAGACGATAGTTTGCCCAAACCTGTTTTAGAGTCTGATTATGAACATCTATAAGATATTCACAGAAAAGATCTGCTAACCTCTTACTGGTTGCCATAATTTTGAAATAAACCCTTTGGAAGTACACCAAGGGAATGTGGATCCCAGAAAGTTATCTCATCAGTTGGTGAGAGGATCTCTACATCAGGGTTATTCATCTCAGTTTACTCGGGGGCCAGCATTTTGAAAATGGGGATTTATCACATGCCAGAGTTCTGAGCCCCAGTATAGACAGACTAATAATGCAACGGGCAGTGATTCGGGGGCACTTACTATGGCTCACTAGGCCAGATTTTTAAAAAAGCAAGGACAACTCTGTACATTGTGTTGGCTCAACCTCTAAGAAAACAGATTGAATGAATGGCTGTTGTGCTCATTAGTTAGAGATTAATTTTTGACAATATTGATATTTTTTTGTTGTAAATAATTCTAATTCACATCTGAAGAAGGACCAAAAATTGTTATATCATGTTCATAATTGCATGCAGTCCAGGGAACCATCCCCACCTAATGTAACAAAGAATATATGATCTTGCATGTGGCTATTTCTTCCTTGTATACTTCTGTTATGTAGTTCATTTTTCTTCATTTTATTATGTCATAACTGTTTCATGTATATTCTGATGTACACAAAATGTTTTGTATTTGTTTCCCTTCCTAAGATAACTGTTCTGAGAATATAAATAAAAGTTAAGACATTACGTTGTCAGAATAGAATATATTTTTTTTTAAGTATTTAAAACCACCAGCAACGAAATTATATCATCAGGTGGATTTCAGCAAATGAAAGAACTCTCTTATGCCAGAATTTCTAGCAAATAAAGTCATGGTCCTAATTTTTTTTAGAGTTAATAATTTTTGTCAAGGTGTTAAAAACCTCTTAAAAATAATTGTTTAAATGTTATAAAAATATAACATAAATATAGCGATATAACTTACAGTGCTTCCAGGTACATAATAGTTTGTATAGAGATCAGTGTGAAGGATATGTCGTAAGCTGTTATGTGTTTTTGCCCGCAGTTCTACTATCAATAAAAAAACATTCAGGCATGCAACGAGTCTGTTCTAGAGCAGATGATTGTTTCCAATACAAAGATTTATGTTCAGTTACATGTCCACACTACTAACCTTGTATATAACATTTGTAGAAATGAGAGCAGTCACACTTGTTTGCAGAATGGACTAACTGGACAGATAGCCTTTATGCAAGCTAAGTTGAATGTTCTTGTAGAATTAACTCCTCGGTACTTAAGCTAGTGTATTTTTTATCATGTCTGTTCATTTAGTGGCAATAATACATGTGTCTAAACAAGAACAAATGTCTACAGTGAGTTAACCTTGTTTATGTTTTATTACAAATATGTGATTAAATGTTTGTTGCAAACTTTGAACAAAAAAAGATTTATTCTATATACATTTCATGCATTGTACATAGCTTCTAGAGAGATTTTCGCCTATTTTTTACAGAAACATTTGTTTTTTGTTTCACCTGCTCTAGATTTATGGAAGTGCATAATGGCCATAAATACCTTTTTTCTAGAAAACATCTAGAAATATTTTTCAGTCTGCACATTAATAAAGGAGTGGCATCTGACTGAGTAGATTAAAACATCAGCATTTTTTTTTGGGGGGGGGAAGGGGTGTATGGAAACCCTGAGTTCACACCTTCAGTAAGGTAATGAAAATTCTTCTATCAGAGGCAGAATATTAAATTGTAAACTACACAGTCTGTGATGACTTGATTACCCATGCTGCCCTAGATGCTCAGGTTAAAGACCATTCATTCTGTCATGCACCACCAGCCTAGAACGTTGAAAATAAGGGCAGTTCAAACTAGTTTTTAAGATAAACGAAGGACAAATTGGCCTTTTGTGATTGTCGGGATTAACCCTTAGCTAATAACTGAAAACATTTACTGAGTGCCGTATGTCTATCAAATATAGATCTAGCCCGATATGCCTAAAGGTGTGAAAGAGGGTCCTTTACTTATTAACTGAAAAGCTTAATTGTTCCATGTTTGTCATGAGATTGTTCCTTGTTTGTCATGAGTATGGTGACAGAGCTCTCTTCTAAGGGCAGATAATCCTTCACATAACCACCAGATAACTTCCTGTCCTTACTGCTGCTGCTAAGTTAGAAAGTGTCATGGCACTTTGGTCAACACCAGTGTCAGGATGTTAGCATGTTTATGTTTACACATTTTTTTACAGAAGTGATTGTTTGCTTGATGTTCATCTCATGTTGTATCAAGCATCAAGATTGTTATCTGTGCATCTGTTTTATACTACTTCACATCTGACCTTTCTAACAGAGGTCAGATCTTTCAGTCATTATATCAAGATGTTTTGTGGAAATATTTTAACAGTGAATCCCTGGCCATTTTTACTTTCAGAACTTATTCTTGCCAGCATTTGTTTTTAAAGATTTTAACTAAGGAAGTTGTACCCCACC